GTGTGATTTTCACAGAGAAAACTACCACTCTAGTATTTTGCTATTCCGATATCACTAAAAAGGGACTGGTTCTTAGTCATAAACTTGATGCAGTTTGGAGCAATCAAGAAACGAATTCTATTGAAAGAGCACACTAAAAATTAGTATAGCTGCGTTTTAGGGTATTTGGATGAATGATAATAGAAAAAAGCCGTTTTTAATTAATCGATAAATTACAAAGAATGTGTGACAAGCGTCTTCAATGCGACCACACATTCTCTCTTACAATGTAATTAGAAGTGATAACTTAGATTKCTCTGCTGTTTTGATTCTTCAACATTTTCTTGAGTGACGGACTGTATTTAAACAATAGAGTAAATACAGTTGAGTTTCTCGATCTCTTTTACGCTGYRWTAGCAGCCTCAATTGTGTGCAAAATATTCAGAAATATATAACTCGTGAAATTTCAAACTATTTCCMTTGTCTTCTATACTCACGGATCTCTTGCATTTGCACGGACTGTTAGTGAAAAAAAGAATTTATCACATTGTTTTGAGGCTAGCACAGCGTAAAAGAGATMACTAAAAGGGTTTATTGAATCGAGGACACGATGCTGTGATAGTTTCCCGCGGACGCGACTATGAAAGTTAAGGAACATCCAGTTTCCAACTATCACTGCATAATGCCCGAGGTTTAAACTCCTCTGTTGTTTTTATCATTCAACAACATTTTCTGCAGCGGACGGTTCTATGCATCGATAGTGGCGGCCATTATAGCGTCACGTGGTCGACTCTCGTCCAGTGGAAGTGAAGGAAACKTTTTTGCTTTATACTCACTRATATAGTCTTTCTGCGGCTCACACTATCGCTCSAAGTGGTCAAATCTCTATCAGTGAGAGCCGGKGAAAATTGGTACAAAATAGATTGCTTGTCTTGGGCAATTACATAAGGTTTAGTTAAATATTTCAGGGAGCTTGAGCATACTATTARCAACATGATACTTTTATTACTAGATCTACTCTCCAAATGCCACCGCGGGTACAATGAACTATAGTTAGTCAGAACGATGATTGGTTGAGAAACAATGTCCAAACAATAGATGGTGTCCCAAACAATAAAAAACCCTAAGTTAACAATAGAAGTGAACTAGTAAGGGCGCTATCCAAAACCAGATTTCGAGATGACTGGARCATCGGCCATATAAATGACGTCGCACAACATCTTAATTTAGCGTTTTAATTAAAAAACTCCATAGTGTATTTATATACAATTCTAAGAAATAAATAGCCATAAAAACTTGCGTGTAATTCAGCTTAGCATTTCTATCGATTCCATATGTGACTTTGAGCTATCATATACGTCACAAGTAATTCTAACAACAATATACTATAATCATTATCATCTAACACTAGCATCTAATATAAGCCATGACTATTTAATTTTACTATCCTGTGCAGCGGATCCATTTTCGATACCAGTCACCTTTCTAGTCGGACACCATTCATGGGCTCCCAGATGATTACCGAAACGTTACTAACTGGCTAAACAGCGTTGGCGAAATGTTACGTTATGGAAGAAGACCATTACAACAGGCGACTACACACCTGTTTTGCGATTATTCAGAAACATCACCTAACAGTGGRCATATAATCTTATCCAAGTCTAGAAATTTCTCCTTCAAAGCCATCCAACCATAGTCTATGACCAATTCAGATCCGAAGCATGGATATTCCAAAAGAAATTCACTGAACAACACTAACACAGAGAATGTTTTTTTTKTGTGATTATATCCATAGACTTCGTCTCTTGAATAACAAAACATTTTTTCAGGTATGATTTCGAATTTGATATGTATACTTTTTATTGTAAACAGCATTTACGAACTTGCGCCATGGGTTAAAGGACTGAGAATAAGGTATAGACATCTGTCCGAGCAACCAGTCGGGGCACGGTAAGTTTCATATCGATTTTCTTTAGTAAATGTCGATATGTCCACAATTTTTTTTTTTTTTTGCATTTTGCCATTGATCGTAGCAATTGGCTCAAACAACGCAGAAAATCTATCAGAAACTYCACTGAAAAACGTTTTCCCGTGCTCCAGCGGTTGTACCCAATAACAAGTCGAAACCCAAAACGCAACTCGAAAAACAATTTAAAAAAACTCAGCTCATCTGCTTTTTTTAAGCAACTAAACCCTTGTACAACAACTACGAACATTCTTCAGTTCTCCGCGGCGCAAGTTCCCCCAAATCATCAGATTCACCAGCAAATAGTTAGCAGAGTTTTTAAGACCTCTGATAGTTTTCTAATAAATAAGACATCAGGTTTKCCGCATATTCTTAAGGTCATCAGTAGCCGAAATTCTTAAAAGACTTGCTAAGAGTTAAGAAGTAGATCTGACCACTAGAGGTAGACCGCGAAGCAAAGAATACCTGAAAAACAACCAAACCAAACACAAACTGAGCGAAGAATAACTAGTATGATAGTAAATAAATGAACAATAAAAGGAACATTAAATGATAAGGTGATGCGATGGAAAAAAAGGAAAGYAATTTTCAAGACGAASCTAACCTTTTCATTTCTTTCGCAAAGAAATCGAAACGTCTGAGCTCTTTTATGCATAAAAACACCATCAAGATGACCTGTTTCAACGGAACGCACTTCGATGGCCTTCTCTCCCCATCCCATGATTTGACCACAACCGATACTTGCTGAAATAAGACAAACATCTATCACTATTACAATAAATTATATCGATAGACAAATGATACATAATCAGTATGGAAGACAAGTTAGATTTTCCATAGTTMACGATGAATTTTCGTAGTCAAGTAATCAATCGAAAAAGYAATCAATCGAAAAAGAAAGGAAAGAGTGAAATATCAATATCAACATGACAATTATGGATTATAATCTATGTTATATCTCTAAACCAAATCAGTGTGAAGGAATCTTCATGCGAAAGTTAAAGCATATCTAAGATCAATTYGGTATAAGTTATCCTACCTATGGCATACGGTGTTTCACCCCACTGCATTGCGGCATGTCTCACCAATTGACCATCTGTATCAACATACACGCCCTCAGCTGTAAAACAGAATCAGATGTTTGAAAGCGAGAACGGACAGCAATACACGTCAAAAGTGGTAAGACACACAGAATAACTAGATGAGRCAAATTGCTGAACATCGTGAGACGATATTTACTACACTTTTCAAGCACGCTCTTTTGCCTCCATTTTACTTACTGTTATAGCAGAGTAACAGTTCTTTTCCTCCAGAATCTAAACCAATTAATGAAATGACTATGAGTAAACAGTAATTTTAAGTACAATCGAAAACTCAAATAGAAAGGAGAATTTCCAAATGAGAAAATAAAGAAATGTATKTTAATAAGAGTTTTAGCCAAGACAAAAACTCAATTTCAGTACATTTGATGGAATTCGTACCTGGAAGGGTAACTATTGCATGCGGATAAAACCTTTCCTGCAGCTGAAACAAAGAAAGTTGACGAGTAAAGTTAATRGTGACGGCCTGTAATGAGTGAAGTTAATGGTGAGGGCTGTAATTGAAAAGCCTCATAGTCAACCGCTTCTTTTGGCTTTTATGTCGACACAAAAYCAGATCAGTAKAGTCTGCGTTACATCTGAACTTTTTTTAATGTTCTTGGTAAGGAAGTYCARATGTGACGTAGGGTATTGAGCGGCTGCGCAAGAAGCTAGTTCACAAAAGACCGTCAAAGGAAGAGATGGAGCAAGATCAGTAGATTACCTTAGTCGGTATGTAGAGATCGATGACAGTAGCCGAGTCCAAATCAACAGCATGAAATCCTGTTTAAGTAAAAATTACACAATGAAACGTCGGYAAAAAAAGGTAAAAAAGAGAGGTRCAAACAYCAAATCATGTATCGAATCATTGACTRCACAACAAAGACGCGAGCGATKCGTGCTGYTTGGGACTTTTKCCGGTATRATTTCTGTTCGATGTAATATTGATAAAGGCTTTWATCAATGATTAGAAGTTCAGTWTTTCATGAGCATGTWATATTTTGAGCCAGAAACCATTTTGAATAATGCCCAGCTGCTAYCAATGCAAGCCACCTTTAAAAACCTAGTAGAGGTCTATGATGCGAGGGTATCGTTGTTTTCATTGCTAACGATGAAGATCCGTGATATATATAATGAAGGGACTAGGCAATCCCTTTGGGCAAAAGTGTTGAGGTTCAACTTGAAATGGACTCCCTTTGTCAGGGATGATCGTTTTAGAATTACACGATGACAAAAGTGACACCTTGCTAGAGTTGGATTTATTTATTTGGCGTTGCATTCTTGACAGAACATTGATGTCTTCATTATACATCTGATGCAACATGGATAAATAAAACAGCAATGCTCTATGTGAATATATCCAAAAAATTTTTAGATAACGCTCATTCTGCATAAAGCTGAAAAAATGCGTATTGCTAAGTAATGTGGGAAAAACTTGAAAATAAAATATTAAAGATATAAGCATGCTCAATTAGACAGTGAACTGACCTATTGCTGATGCATAACACACTTTTAGTTTACTGTTTTCTTTCTCAATTGTCATGTTGAGCTTGAGGGGTTGATGCTTTAAACCAGGGAATGACTGAAAATAAAGATAAGTCGATTACTACGTGAAAGAGGTTTTGCCATATATAAACTGAGAATAAGGCTGGCATTCCGTATAAAACAAGTAAATAATAACAGTGTAGTACGTGGTCTTACCTTAAAAGCCATAAACTTATGGTAAGGTTTGGGCGCCCATGCATATACTTCAATACTCGACTGCGTAGCAAAAGCTAGAAACTTTATACGATGGAAGTTTACTACAAAACACAAATGAATAATAAAAACGGMATCTTTTATACTATTTTGCGCCTTGTAGAATGCAAATAATTTCCAACTAACTATTTTTAATACAAATGTCCTTAAAAAACTATTTGTTAGTCTGAACTAGGCTACTATACCGAAAKAGAAATAAAGGAAAGTTATAGTGCGAGGGCGGAAATTAATTTTTCCGAATTTACTTCCAAGGGTCTTTCTCCCGGAATAACCTACTTCTAAGCACTATAACTGCCTTTATTTCTATATCATGTATCTCATAGTGTCATGCGGTCCTTACATTCATATCATTATACCGAAAACCTTTCTGACCTTGCGACAATTACTATGCTAGGTTTTCCCCGTTTCAAAAAACCATCATTGAGCAGTGACGACGGAGAAGTGGAAGTGCATAGATGTATTCATAACTACTTGTCGCCCTGACCAGAGGAGACATTTAACGAAACTATACTTACCAACTTTATAATGAATAATTCCTTCCAAGTCTCCTACAATGGTGTAACCACGTTGACCACGGTGATTATTAGACTTCAAAACAATAATAATAATGTTACATTACATATGACAAGATAGGATTATATATCATCACATGATGGAAGGCAGTGATGGGAAAATAGATCTACAGATATTCTTATATTGGAYTGAATAGAGATGATATCCACCATAAGGGTTCTAATTCTTCAAAGAACTAGGTAATACTGTAGTTCTGTTCTTTTTTCATTCACAAAAACCTTGTCCAGGCAGAAAATCTAGACATTGAGATGTGTTCTTAATAAAAACAATCTGAGTTGCATCACATGAAAAGCATTCCTACCTCTTCTCCTTTGAGAATCTTAGCCTTCAGCCAAGACAAATAATAAACCCTTAGCTTGTTTCGCTTTCCTGGWAAACAAAGAATTCAACATTGTACATTTGCAGAGCAATSAAATAACTGAGAGTGGAACTTAATGTTTTGTTATAGTTGAATATTGTCCAACTTTATTATGACATCATATCAATACATTCTATTAGTCTAGTTATAATGGGTGTCCCTCCCTGCCATACAACCATGCATCCACATTCTATGGGTCCTCTATGCACCCACATTCTTCATACCATAGTTTTGCTAATATTTTGTGACTACTTTATATATTTTTTTCATCACTAAAAAAGAGTTTATTTACTAAATAGAGATGATACATTGATACCTATTTATTTCTTAATGTGAAAACTAGGTAAATTGAAGGTCAATGTTAAGAAAAAGACAGATAAAAATATGAACATGYTGTGATGTCATGATAAAATTGGGCAATTTTCATAATCATTTTGTGTGTGGACATTTATGTAGCAACATATTTTGCAATACTCCAGTTTTGAATTCTCTTTTGTGCAAGCTTAGCTTCAATCAAGCATAAATTGTTTATTGTCTTCTTTGTACACCGAGTGTTTGCATAACAATAGGATCTCTGCTGAATAAAAGAATATATTACATGCTTTCGAGGTTAAGACTGCAGAATTTTATGATCTTGAAACTGGAGTATTGTAGGTCCATTACTGAAAAATTCCTATTTAAACTTACCACTAATAGTAATAAGAACATTGATSCCCTCCAGTACATCAATTTGCTGGAATCTTCTCCTGGAAATCATCTGGAATACTGGAAAAACAATTCACAAGAATTTTTTGGTGTTACAGATATGATTGAGTAAATCTGCAGTTTATTTTACTGAAGCATTTCCAAGTTGTAGTCAAACCATTAATCATKTTTAACTACCTTTTCCATTTCCACTTCTGTCAAGTAGGTACAGACCATTCTCAGTTCCAATTAGAAGATTGACACCTAAAAAGGCAAGAGACTTAGTCTTGAGATGCAGTGACAGTGCTSAAGAATGGTTTATCAAARGCATACCCCATAATGCTCCACACAATACTTCTGTYCTAAATTTGTATTTGTATTTCCTTATTTGTGGCATCTGAAAGAAATACATTTACAATAAGCACTATCAAATAAATACTTAAGACCTTAATTTGACTAGCATTCTCCTTTGAAGTGTACACAATCACATTACAATGTAAATGCCAGCTTCAAAACATTTCTATGCTTTCTTACAGCAAAGTCTTCTTGGCTTGCTATGGAGGTTCTCTCAGGATCAAGGTTTACAGATACTTGTGAAGGTGCCTGTGAAGAACGGCCAAAACCAAAACTTCTTTGTTTTACAATCTTTTTTTCTACYGGTGGATCATGTACAACGAATGATGATGCAATGGACTCATCTGAGGACTGCTGGTCTGGAGAACGCTGAATGAAAAAATCATTGTTGTGACCATGATGTGCTTTGTTATGAATGAATGCAGTTCACGGCACAACACAAACAAGATAAAAACAGATTGAAAGACATTAACATTTGAAAGGTAGGAGAGGGAATATGAGAAAGGTATAATCACATGTTTTCTTTATATATCAAGAATCCACCTAAAATTAAGGAAACCCAACAACTTCAAGAATATTACAAAAGCAGCAACATAAATCCAAGTATCCCAGCTGMTTCTAATATTACTTGTAACTTTCATTAAATTGTAAAAACCAAAACACACACACAAACCAAACAAACAATGTGTCAGTGACATATTTATAAAATAAACACAAAATATAGACATACATAAACTATTGTCTCATAACAACCAATAAATACAATGTACGTTACATACTGAAGGTGGTGGTGATTGGGAATGTAATGGTTGATTTGTGGCAGGAAGAACATCTGGYAGATTACTACCCCTTGTTGGGCTTCCTGTGTCTGAAAGGCTGGCTGTTGATGAGCTTGACTGCCATAGAAGCAAAAGAAATAATCAAACTAACTGTTGCAAGTCACTGAATTGTATGTACTGCATTACTGTAAAATATAGACATATTTTGCAACATTAATGAGCTACAAAAATCAGAATGGACTCAAATTTGATCTCTTAAAGTATTTTGCTATTGTAAGTATAAGTGTATTACTGTGCAAATTTTTGATTTTTGATTTTTGCATGCATTACTCTTGTAGTTAAACACAAAAAGTCAATTTTCTACATTGTAGTTAATGGGCACACACAATAGAATTGAAGACAAGGGAAACAAAAGAATTAATATATATCTTTTCCCCTGAGTCTTTTTTCAATTCTTTTGTCTGATCAATCAATTGAAAATAGTGAATGTGGGCTAATGACATTTTTTCCAATCATTAGGCTAGATCTAACCATTATGTAGTCTGGTGCAGTTTCAATGTGCTAACTGATTTTGAGAAGAAAYATACCTCTGAATCATCATCTTCATCTCTCAAAACAAGGGTATTGTAGTCATCAGGTTCATCTTGGTGAACACCTACAATACATACAAAAATTGTATAAATGCCTATTCACAATAAAGAACCTACTGTTAGGGACTTACTTTCATGTCTTGTTAAGGTTCTTTCATCAATGCCATCAATAGATGATGACCTAATGAACAATGCCTATGTGTTATTTGATAAGATAATTGACAAGCATTGGAGCTATGGACAGGGTTTGTCCTACTTTTTCACACCAAAATT